AAAGAAGGCAGGGGGAGGTTTCAAAGATGAAACTTGAAGATTTCCACAAGCACAGCACCGCCAAACTGGAGGGGGAATGCCTGTTGAGTGATTTAGAACGCCAGCTGTGCAAAATGTTCCGTGTTGTCGAAATAGTCGGCAAGAGAGGCAGAACTGTTCCCGTGTTTCTAAGCAATGAGGCAGTAGCATGGTTGAATGCCCTTGTCACCAAGAGACATGAAGCTAGAGTAGCCCAAGACAACAACTTCTTGTTCGCACGGTGTTGTTATGACGGGAGAGGCCACATACAAGGGAGTGACTGTTTAAGGGCATATGCTGATAAGGCTGGCCTTGACAATGCATCCAGCATCCGGTCCATCAAACTCCGTAAACATGTAGCAACTGCATCGCAAATTCTTGCATTAAAGGAACATCAGCTTGAAACTCTAGCCAACTTCATGGGCCACGATCTGCGAGTACATCGCGAATACTACCAGTTGCCAGATACTGTACAGCGGGTCACCAAACTGTCCAGACTTTTCCTGAGCTTGGAGAGGGGCAACATGCCTTCCCAGCAGGGCAAATCCTTGGACAAACTGCATGTAGCTGGAGGTAAGGGCACCTTGTCTACCCAACCCTTGACTTTGAACCAAGTCAACCCAATCCAGACTCCCACTTTGTAGGGCATCATACTCGGCCAGAAAGAATACCTCTCTTCCTATTCACACCCCCCCCGGAAGAACAGACCAATACAAAGAAAGACAGGGACCAAAAATCACTCCCATAAATGTATCTTGCGTCAATAACTCACAAAACAATGTTCCATTTTGGCCAGCCATTCCCCCCCTCCCATCTCAATGCCAAGCAGAAACTGCCAGACACCCGTGCATGTATGTGTGCTTTAACTGATTGATCTCAATTTGGGGTTTACTCTCAGAAGGCTTCACCAGTGAAGAGGACAGCAGCGACAGTGGGGACAGCAGTGAAGACTCTTGCGATGAATCCGTTGAAAACGGTAAGATTTGGTCTGTCTGTCTGTTGCTCTGTCGGGCTGTCTGCTGAGCTGTCACCTACATTTCTAATGTCCTTTTCTTGCCTCTACATTAATAGGACAGCTTCCTGGTGTTGCTGCTGTATCTCGAAGAAGGGAACCCTCTCCACCATCGAGACGAGTGAAGCGGCATCCCTGGACTACAGCGGAGAAGACAGACATCCAAGAAGGCCTGCGTAAATTCTTCCAGTTGAGGAAAGTTCCTGGCAAGTTGGACATCGAAGCAGCTTGCACTGTGGCACTGCAGACCCGTACTTGGAGAAACATCAAAGACTTTTGTTGTAACACAATGAAGTTATAGGCAAGTTAAGCTATGATCCACCACACCAGCCATTCTCTCGAGACATTATACCATATTTATGATGAACCCTATAGTAGTAAGCCAATAACGCACTCTATTTTTAGTGGCCAAAACAACCAAAACTTGTGAGTGTTGTCCTCGGTGTTACAGGCTGCACTCACATGGACAAGAAGTCCTCCGTCTGATAGTTTGGAAAGTATGCCCTCCATCTGCAGTGCCTACATGTGTGTTACGGCACCCCTGGGAAGGATTGGGGTATGTTTTGTCTTTTCTCTTGTGTCAGTGTTGTTCACTTAAGTTATATGTTAATGCAGTGCATTTAGTGAGTTTTATAATGCAAGTTTGGGAAAGGAGTTAGACCTTAGCCAGAGGAGTTGATCTTCTTGTTTCTCTGGGAAGGCTGTTTTGTTGAGTGGATTATATTTTATTACTGGATGGTCAGCAAATGATCAATAGTTAAAATGTAATTTGTTAGTTGGAATTGGTAGAGTTTATCTTGATTTCCACGTTGTAATTTTGACTTTTTTGTGTATTTTCTGTTACAGTTTTTTCCCCTTGTGCCACACAAATTGCGCTTTATTAAAGTCCAAATACCACCGCATTCTGATGTGTGTCGAGCATGTTTTATTGCCCATATTAAGTTTTATGCAGAAATCAATGCCACGGGAATAAAAAAGTAACAATCAATACTTTTCAATAATGTGTATGCATAGCCAGTAAGGATGGCATCCCTATACAGAAACCA